CTTAAGGTTATCTGATATCTCTCTCAGATTTTCTTCAATACCTTCAATGCCTTTAATTCTTTTTTCTTTCTTTTTTTTTTTTTTTGTCTGCCTGTGTTATTTCAAACAGTCCGTCTTCAAGGTCAGAAGTTCTCTCTTCTACTTCTGTAAGCCTGCTGGTTAAACTCTCCGTTGTGTTTTTTATTTCGCTGAATAGCTTCTTCAGTTCGGCAAGCTCTGCTACATTCTTTTTCAAGGCATTGATTTCCTTGTACGTTTCTTCTTTCAGGTCCTGTATACTTTTCCTCATTTTATCATGTTGTCTAGCTGAGTTTTCTTGTATCTCATTCAGTTTCCTTAGAATTATCAGTCGAAATTCCTTGTCAGACATTTCAAAGGCTTCTTGTCCTATAGGATCTACAGCTTGAGAGTAATTACCCTTTGGTGGTGTACTTTCTTGATTTTTTGTATTTTTGGTATCTTTCCTTTGATGTTTAGTCATTGTGGCAGGGGGTTTCACAGTCCACAGGTTTGACACTGTTGTCTGGCTAGGATGTTGCTGGGGTTGCCAATTTGGTATGGCTACCTCAGTGTCTGCTCAGTTGGCCACTAGTGCCTTGCGTGTGTGGTTGCCTTGGGTCTTGGGCCTCTCTGGGGAGCTACCTCTCTGGTCAGCATGCAGTTGGCTGGGTTCCTGGTCTCATGGCGGCACCGCAGGGTGTGTGGTCTCTGCCAAGCTTCCGCCTCCCCTGCTGGACGTCTCCCTGTTCCGCGCACACTGGGGCAGGCTGCTGGATCGCGTGGTGGTGGCACCGCAGGGCATGTGGTCTCTGCAGAGCTTCCGCCTCCTCTGCTGGACGTCTTCCTGCTCAAATGGGTGTCTTTCTGAAGGACAGTTTCTTTGCCTTGTTACCAGCTACTTAAGACTGAATTGGAGTAGTAAGGGGAGATTGGTGGAGCTTTGACAAACATATCTGAGCTGCTATGCTTCTTGTTATTCGCTCCTGGGCTTCTCTGGCTGATTATTTTTTATTTGGTTGCTTTTGTTTTTTGACGGCTGGCCAGTACAGGGATCAAACCCTGGACTTTGGTGTTATCAGCACCACACTCTAAACACCTGGCTAACTGGCCAGCTCTGATTTTGGATTACTTCGTAATGTTTGTACAAAATGATATGATAGTCGGGGTAGCTGAAGAGGTTACTTCTAAGAGTTTCCTTCCCTTTATAGAACCTTGTGGTAGGAACAAAAGGGAAAGCTGTGACTGTTAAATTCATAGAAAGCATGGCACAAGAAGCTAGGATTGGAAGTGAAGATTGCAGTAGATACCTTTTATTTTCTTGGCCTGGATTAAAATATAGCCTCTCCTAGATGTACATATTAACTGCCTCATTACTGTATGTTGCAGGAGTCTGAGTGCCCTCTGCGGCTTGCTGTCTGCCAACACTGTGATTTGGAACTTTCTGTTCTCAAACTGAAGGAACATGAAGATTATTGTGGTGCCCGGACGGAACTATGTGGCAATTGTGGGCGCAATGTCCTTGTGAAAGATCTGAAGACTCACCCTGAAGTTTGTGGGAGAGAGGGGGAGGAAAAGAGAAATGAGGTTGCCGTACCTCTTAATGCATATGATGAGTCTTGGGGTCAAGATGGAATCAGGATTGCATCCCAACTCCTCAGACAAATTGAGGCTCTGGACCCACCCACAAGGATACGCCAAAGGCCCCTAAGAGCCTTTGAATCAGATCTTTTCCACAATAGAACTAACAACCAAAGGAACATGACTGCCCAGTTTCCAATTCAGAATAATCTATGTGAGTTGTGCTTGTGATTAGGAAACTGGAATGGTATCAAAATCCCAGGTCAAATGGAACTGTGCTTTGGGACCAAATAGATCTTGAATATAGAGACCTGATTGTGCTGGGAAGAATGTCTAACTTTCCTATAAAATAGGAATAACATAACTTCTTCACTGTTGGATTATGGTTAGGGTTAATGATGATGATGATGATGACAGTGCTATAAATAGCTAACACTTATGGCCTATGTGCCTAAAGCATTTGCAAAGTGCTTCACATGAACTAACTCATTTAATTCTCACAACAGTCATATGAGGGTAGGTAAATGGTAGAGTTGAAATTTGAATACAGGCATTCTGACCCCATGCTTTAAACCATCCTGCTGTAATGCAGAAAATATATGTAAAATATTTAGCATGATTCCTTTCCCATAATATGGCTCAGTAATATTGCTTATCAGTAATACAATTAGAATAATAATGGAGACTTTTCTCATGGCAGACAATGTTCAGAGATCAGAGGGCCAAGGGTACTGGCTGGGCCTTTTTGTTACTGTTTAGATGCCTATAAACCTTGACTGTTTGCTAGGCAAGAATTTGAGTTGAAGGGTGGCAACATCTGTAATGTATTTCGAGTGCTGATTTTTTTTTTTTCCAGTTGAAGAACAAGAAAGGCAGGAAAGGAATAGAAGCAGACAGCCTTGCAAAGAGGGTGGTGAAGATAGTGCAAACTTGGACTTCATGTTGGCTCTAAGTCTGCAAAACGAAGGCCAAGCCTCCAGGGTGGCGGAGCAAGACTTCTGGAGGGCCGTATGTGAGGCAGACCAGTCTCATCGCGGTCCCAGTTCTCTGAGTGACATAAAGGGTAGGTTTGCTTATTCTGCACTAGCCTCTGTCTCTGTAATTTTTATGTCTAACACTATACATTCATATAAAATCGAAAGATTTTCATGAGATAGAATTTGCCTTATTCTTTTTTGTTTGTTTCCTTTTCCCAACTCCCTAATTTTTTTTTTTTTTTTTGGCAGTTGGCCGGTAGGGGGATCTGAACCCTGATCTTGTTATAACACCAACTGAGCTATCTGGCCAGGCCCCAACTTCCTATTTTTAAAAATTGTCAGAATAGTATAGTGAACATCCATATATCCCTCATCTGTATTAAACAATTTTAATATTTTCTTTTTTATTTTTTTTTATTTTTTTAAATTTTTTTATAAAGATGACCGGTAAGGGGGTCTTAACCCTTGACTTGGTGTTGTCAGCACCATGCTCACCCAGTGAACCAACCGGCCATCCATATATGGGATCCGAACCCATGGCCTTGGTGTTATCAGCACCACACTCTCCCGAGTGAGCCACGGGCCGGCCAATTTTAATATTTTCTTACTTCTATCTTTATATATATATTTCCCCCTTGAACCATTTGAAAATAAGTTTGAAGACATAACATTTTATCTCTAAATACTTCAGCATCACATAAGAACAAGGGTATTCTCCTGTGTAAACACTATGAAAATGTCACTCTCAGGAAATTCAATGTAAGTTCCCTACTTGTACATAACGTCCTTTAGAGCTTTTTTAAATTTTTTATTTTTTTTGCAGCTGCCAGTAAGGGGATCTGAACCCTGAATCTTGGTGTTGTAACACCATGCTCTAACCAACTGAGCTAACTGGTCAGCCCTGTTTTATTTTCAAAATCCAGGATTATGCATTGTTATTGTGTTTAGTTCTTTTTAGTTTCCTTTAGTTTAGTTCCCCACCTTTTTTTTTTTTTCCTTTCTTTTAGGATATTGACACTTTTGAAGAGTCCAGGCTAGATGTTTTGCAGAATGTTTCTTTCCCAATTTAGATTTGTTGGATTATCTTCCCACATTTAGATTCAGGTTTTAGTTTTGTCAGGAATGCTTTACTGGTGATGCTGTGTCCTTCTCAAGATGTTAATTTGTCTCGATATTAACTAAGGTGAGGTTGCTTAGATATCTCCATTGTATAGGTAGCTTTTTACGTTTATAATAGAGTGTTATATTTTAAGATTGTTGGGGAATTGGATATTCACACGATCTTTTATCTAGTGGTTTGAGTATTCATTGATGTTTCTTGCTTGAATCAAGTATTACTATGGTGATTTTTCTGTTTCTGTCCTTTGTTCTACATTAGTTGTCACTCTTCTATAAAGAAGAACTTTTCCCTTCCTACTCTTTTTTAAAAACAATTCCTTTTCAGTATTGTTGGACTTGTGGGTTAAGACTAAGTTTTTAAAACTAAAAGCTGGATTGTGAGCAGCAAACCACCCTTTGAATCTCTTGTGAAGAGAACAACAATCTTGGAGAGGTACTCATATTTTATTGATGCATGTCATATTTAAAACTCACAAGTTGTGAGAGATTTTAGGAACCTCTGAGTTAAGCAGCTCTCTCAGCTGTGATTTGTCTTCATGCCACTATATGAGTAATGACTCCAAGAACAGTAGGATTACCTCTTAACATTTTGTTGATTCAGATAAAACAGGAATTAATCCTGGGTCCAAATATTGAAGTTTGGATCTTATGTGGCCTAGTTAAAGGAGGTAAGTTGATAGAATCAATAGAAATTTGGATAGGGATGACATTTTTTTTGTTGTTTTAAATTTTTTATTTTCTTAATTATAACAGATTATATTAATTTAAAAAATAGTAAATATATCTGAAATATTTTGTTTCTGTAGTCCACTCTAGACAATGGTTAGTTAATGTGCAGATTGAAGGACTGCATAAAATGATTCTTTAGCTCCTTAGAGGGTTATGTCTCCACAGGTTGAAAAATTGCCATTTCGGGGCCGGCCTGATAAAACCAAGGCCACGGGTTCGGATCCCATATACGGATGGCTGGTTCGCTCACTGGGTGAGCATGGTGCTGACAACACCAAGTCAAGGGTTAAGATCCCCTTACCGGTCATCTTTGGGAAAAAAAAAAAGAAAAATTGCCATTCCAGGCCATATATATACAAAAAAAGCTTTTTTATTTTAGAGGATTTTTTAAAAATAGGTAGTTTACATATATAATAAAAATGATTGTGTACACATTAAATGGGTGAATTGTATCGTATGTGAATTATATCTCAGTAAAGCCGTTAAAGAAAAAAAGATAAAAATTATATATAAAAAAATTATGACAGTTTAAAAGGTTGTAAAAAGAAAAGTAAGTCTCCGTCTCACCTCTGATAGATGCACTGGCTGATGACAGTATCCTAGTTCTCCCCAGAGGTCACCACTTTCAGCGAAAAATTGCCATTCCAGGCCATATATATACAAAAAAAGCTTTTTTATTTTAGAGGATTTTTTAAAAATAGGTAGTTTACATATATAATAAAAATGATTGTGTACACATTAAATGGGTGAATTGTATCGTATGTGAATTATATCTCAGTAAAGCCGTTAAAGAAAAAAAGATAAAAATTATATATAAAAAAATTATGACAGTTTAAAAGGTTGTAAAAAGAAAAGTAAGTCTCCGTCTCACCTCTGATAGATGCACTGGCTGATGACAGTATCCTAGTTCTCCCCAGAGGTCACCACTTTCAGCAGCTTCTTAGTTAGCCTTCCAGAGAGAGTCTTTGTATATAAAATGATGTGAATGTATAATACAATGGGATTGTTTAAAAGCTGGTTTTATTAGGAAGACCTCTTGATTTGGGGGGAGCCAAACAATACTTTCTAATGTTTGGCTTTGGCATCTTTTCCATTTCTAAGCTTGCGGTCCTTTATGGGATGTTGATGTTCAGGTTCTCCCTTTTGTTACCTTTAGTCCATTTGTTTTTACCTAATATTTGCTGCTTCTTTCCCTTAAGAAAATGCCCTAGTCCCAAACAAAGTCTTTTCCAAACTTCGAGCAGCATCTTTTTTTCTGTGAGAGTCCCCTTATCAACTGTTCAAACGTGTCTTTCATCAGAGCATTTAGACTGGTACTGAAGGAAGTATAATTACAGCATAGTAGTGACAAATGAAGGCTCTGGATTTAGTGTAGTGTCCTTTATTTTCTCAAAAAAGTCAATGAAGCATTTGTTTGCTTTTTTCATTCCATTTATCCTCTCCTAGTTTGGAATTTGTATTCTCTATCCCTATTCTTTTAGTGGTTGCTTGGAAATTTTAACATTTTTATCTAACGTAACAAAGACTAAATTTACTTTATCTCATCACATTTCTACATACAAATCAATATAATAGCCATAGAATTCTGATCATTCCTTATGACTTAAGTACCATTGATATGTGTTAGTGTTCTCTCTTGTTTTCTTTTTAATGCCATAATGTAGACATTTCTGGTTTTTTATAGTTGTATTAATCATTTCATTTATTTATTTACTTATTTTTTTGGCAGCTGGCCAGTGTGGGGATCAGGACCCCTTGACCTTGGTGTTACCAGCACCATACTGTAAATAAGTATGTCATTGTATTTATTATGTGTTTACCATTGTCTTTGCTCATCCATTTCTCCTTGATTCTTAGAGCTTTCTTGTAGGATAATTTTTTTTCTTTAAGAACATTCTTTAGAAATTCTCTCGAAAGTGTCTGTTGGTTGTAAATTCCCTATTCTGGTTTGCGTGAAAATATCTTCATTTTGGATAGTTTCTCTGATCATACTATTCTAGATTGCCAATTATTGTGTCTTAGTTCTTTGAAGATATTGTTTTTTTGGCTTCTATTGCTGGCTGTAGAGAAGTTATTTGTTAGTGTTGTTATTTCTCTGTAGGTACTCTGCCTTTTCTATCTGGCTTATTTTAAGATCTTTTTGTCTCCGGTATTCTGCAATTTCCTGATGATGTCCCTGGTCTTAAATTTCTTGTTATTTGCTGGTCTTCCTCAATTCAGAAATATAGTATTTCATCTAGTTGGATCATTCTCATTGGTTACTTCTTTGATTATTGCCTGTCTTTGATTCTCTGTAGTCTCACTGAAATCCATTTAGGTATGTTAGACTTCACTGTGTCTTCTATGTCTCTTAACTCACATTTCCCATTTTTTTTGTTCACTGTGCTGCATTCTGGGTAATTTCTTTTTTTTTTTTAAAGATGACCGGTAAGGGGATCTTAACCCTTGACTTGGTGCTGTCAGCACCACGCTCAGCCAGTGAGTGAACCAGCCATCCCTATATGGGATCCGAACCCGGGGCCTTGGTGTTATCAACACCACACTCTCCCGAGTGAGCCACAGGCCGGCCCCCTGGGTAATTTCTTAACAATCTTCTAGTTCACTGATTTTGTCCTTAGTTATTTCTTTTTTTTTTTTTTTTTTCCTTTTTGTCTTTTTTCGTGACCGGCAACGGATCGCAACCCTCAGTGTCGTGCCCATACCGGACCAGGACCGGCCACGGGATCGCAACCCTTGGTGTTGCCCCTGCCCCTCGCTCAGCCAGTGAGTGGCCGGTCTGCATGTGGGATCTGAACCCTCGGCGGGAGCGCCACCGCACTTCCCAAGCGGCACACTATAGCAGTGCGCCACTGGGCCGGCCCGAGTCCTTAGTTATTTCTAATTTGTTTTTTAATACAGGCTTACTTCATTTTATAACACGTCACTTTATTGTGCTTCACAGATACTACTTTTTTTTTTTACAAACTGAAGGTTTGTGGCAACCTTACATTGAGCAATCTTTTGGTGCTGTTTTTCCAATAGCAGGTGCTCACTTGGTGACTCTATGTCAGATTTTGGTAATTTTAGCAGTATTTCAAACTTTTTCCTCATTATTATATCTATTATGGTGATCTGTGATCATTAATCTTTGATGTTACTATTGTAACTGTTTTGGGGCACCACAAGTTGTGCCCATATTAGATGACAAACTTAATAAATGTTGTGTGTGTTCTGACTGCTCCACCAACCAGTTGTTCCTCCATGTCTCTCCCTTTCCTCTGGCCCTCTTAGTCCCTGAGATACAACAATATCTAAGTTATGCCAATTAATAACTATAATGGCCTCTAGGTGTTCCAATGAAAGGAAAAGTCACACATATTTCACCAATCAAAAGCTAGAAACGATTAAGTTTGGTGGGGAAGGCATGTTGAAAGCCAAGACGGGCTGGAGGCTAGGCCTCTTGCACCAGTTAGCCAAGTTGTGAGTGAAAAGGAAAAGTTCTTGAAGGAAATTAAAAGTATGCTACTCCAGTGAATACACGGATGATAAGAAAGTGAAACAGCCTCATTGCTGATATGGAGAAAGTTTTAGTGGTCTGGATAGAAGATCAAACTAGCCACAATATTTCCTTAAGCTAAAGCCTGATCCAGATCAAGGCTCTAACTCTCTTCATTTCTATGAAGACAGAGAGGTGAGGTAGCTGAAGAAGAAAAGTTTGAAGCTAGCAGAGGTTGGTTCGTGAGATTTAAGGAGAGAAGCCATCTCCATAACATAAAAGTGTAAGGTAAAGCAGCAAGTGCTGATGTAGAAGGTGCACCAAGTTATCCAGAGATCTAGCTAAGATAATTGGTGAAAGAGGCTAATCAGCAGATTTTCAATATTGATGAAACAGCTTTATATTGGATGAAGATGCCATCTATGACTGTCATATCTATAAAGGGGAAGTCAAGGCCTGGCTTTAAAGCATCAAAGGACAGGCTGACTCTCTTGTTATGGGCTAATGCAGCTGGCAACTTTAAGTTGAAGCCAGTGCTCATTTACCATTCTGAAAATCCTAGGGCCCTTAAGAATGGTGTTAAATCTACTCTGCCTGTGCTCTATAAATGGAACAACAAAGCCTGGATGACAGCACATCTGTTTACAGCATGGTTTACTGAATATTTTAAGCCCACTGCTGAGGCCTATAGGTCAGAAAAAAAGATTCCTTTCAAAATATTACTGCTCACTGACAATGCACCTACTCACTCAAGAGCTCTGATGGAAATGTACAAGGAGATTAATGTTCATGCAACATTCATTCTGTAGCCCATGGATGAAGTAGTAATTTCAACTTTCAAGTCTTATTACTTAAGAAATACATTTTGTAAGGCTATAGCTGCCATATATAGTGATTCCTCTGATGGATCTAGGCAAAGAAAATTGAAAACCTTGTGATAGAATTCACCATTCAAGATGTCACTAGAACATTCTAGAACATTTGTGACTTATGGCAGGAGGTCAAAATATCACCATTAACCAGGAATTTGGAAGAGGTTGATTCCAATCCTTATAGATAACTTTCAGGGGTTCAAAACTTCAGGAGAGGAAATAACTGCAGATGTGGGGGAAATAGCAAGAGAACTAGAATTAGAAGTGGAGCCTGAAGATGTGACTGAATTGCTGTAATCTCAAGATAAAAATTTTAACAGATGATGAGTTGCTTCTTATGGATGAACAAAGAAAGTGTTTCTTTAGATGGAATCTACTCCTGATGAAGATTCTTAAACATTGTTGAAATGACAATGAAGGATTTAGAATATTACATAAACTTAGTTGATAAAGCAGCTGCAGGGTTTGAGAAGATGGACTCAGATTTGAAGTGGCTAAAATACTGTCAAATAGCATCACATGCTACAGAGAAATCTTTTGTGAGAGGAAGAATCCATCAATGAGGCAATTTTCATTGTTTTATTTTAAGAAATTGCCAGGGCTGGCCTGTGGCTCACTTGGGAGAGTGTGGTGCTGAAAACACTAAATCAAGGGTTAAGATCCCCTTACCGGTCATCTTTTTTTTTTTTTTTCAAGATGGGGTTAAGTTACTGTTAGTCAGCATTTTTTTGGGTATTTTTGTACTGTGAGGAATTTTCAGGATGTTGTTTGCCCGTAATAAATAAGCCATAATTCCTTTATCTCTAAAATTAGGATAATGTAGGATCTACCTCATAAGTTCTTCCTGAGGACTGAAATAATGCATGGAAAACACTTAGATTAATGCCTAGTGTTATTATATACTTAAATCTCTTACTTAATCAGAGGAGCAGGTAAAATGCTACTTTATTGCTACTCAGGAAATTGGTGACAAGTAAATCTCTTGTTCCATAATGGAAGTTTTTGCCTGAGGTTTGTTTCTTGGTTTTCCTTCTGAGGGTTTACAGCTCTACAAATTGGTATATCTAGGAAATGTCAAAGGAAATAGAACTTTTATATAAAACCCCATAAAGGGGATAAACGGTTGAAATCAAGTTTGTTTTTGTTCATTTGAGTCTGACTATGTGACCTGTTACCTAGGTGCAGCTGACAAGACCATGTTGCCTTGTGAATTTTGTGAGGAACTCTACCCAGAGGAACTGCTGATTGACCATCAGGTGTGTTGTGAATTCCTTGAGGGCTTTAAGTAGTAATGTATGCAGGCCATAGTTGGTGTTACAGGCCACATGTCTTTAGCAAACTATTTTAATACAATACCTGTGGTAGGAGTAGCAACTGTGCTTTTATTTTTTTACCACGGTTTGAATGACATGGGGATATAAAAACTCAGCCTTATTCCCCTTAGAAAAATAAATGCTTATTCCAGCAGACCCAGTGGTCTCAATCCAGCAGAACTTCCATATGGTGGTGACTTGTACATCTCTACTGACCATCTTATGCTTTGGTCTCATCTCATGCCACATTTTGGTTTATTGGAGCTGTATTGAAATCCTTGCAGTTCCATGGAAGAGTCCAGGGTATTTTTCTGCATGTTACTTCCTCTGCTTAAAAGGTGTATGGCTGGGCCGGCCCGGTGGCGCACTGCTACAGTGCGCCGCTTGGGAGCGTGGTGGCGCTCCCGCCGAGGGTTTGGATCCCACATACAGACCGGCCGCTCACTGGCTGAGTGAGGTGCGGGTGCAACACCGAGGGTTGCGATCCCGTTGCCGGTCCCGGTCCGGTACGGGCGCGACACTGAGGGTTGCGATCCATTGCCGGTCACGAAAAAAGACAAAAAGGAAAAAAAAAAAAAAGGTGTATGGCCTTCTGCCCCTGCTTCATCAACATACCCAGGAACAGACTTGGTTCAGACATGACTTTCATGAAACTATCCTGAGTGACACTGAAGGGTACATCAGGGGTCCCACCTGAGTGCTCCCTGAAAGTCTGTACCCGCTTCTCGTATAGCTTTTTACCCTGTGGTGTGGTCTCCTGATCCCCTGTTTGTCTGTACCACTAGGCTGAGTTCCTTGACGACAGGTTCTGGGTTATTCTAGTTTCTCAGTTTCAAGTAATATCTGGTATATGAAAGGTGTCAGAATTTTTTTGAATGATTGAAAAGTTCTTGAGCCATTAGGAATGATTAGAGAATAGCCTTATGTGTTTGAGGATTACGTGGAGGGAATCACTTTTTCCCTCAACACTCTTGGTCTGATTTAGTTTAGCCTAGTCTGGCATTTCTGTAACTACTAACAATGCTGTGGGTGATGAAATATATCTTCCCCCCGTAAATGGAATAATACAGTATTTGAATACATTTAGTTTTTGGTTTGGGAACAGCATAAGAAAATCCACTAACAAACATAATGAAGAATATTTGGGCCTCTCTTTTACTTGGGTCTTGAATCTTTTAAAAAGAATAATTACATGAACACAGTAAAACAAAAACAGCACAGAAATGTTTAAAGGTAAAGTGAGTGTTCTATCTGCATTCTCCTGACCCTTTTTAGACCTTCTCCCCAATATTAAGGATTAAAATTTTGTGACTTCTTATGAAAATGTTTTAGGAATATAGTTTTTTCCTTAACCTCTGACTTTTTTTTTTTTTTAAACTATGTGTTTTGAATGACAGACAAGCTGTAACCCTTCATGTGCCTTACCTTCGCTCAGTACTGGCAGCTCTTCCCCCAGAGGGGTGGAGGACCCTGATGTCATCTTCCAGAACTTTCTGCAGCAGGCTACAAGTAACCAGTTAGACTCTTTGATGGGCCTGAACAACTCACCCTCTGTGGAGGACAGCATCATCATCCCCTGTGAATTCTGTGGGGTACAGCTTGAAGAGGAGGTGCTGTTCCATCACCAGGTAAGTGTCTGGAGGACCCATCTGGTTGGCTCCATGCTGATCCTCTGTGAGTGAACCTACGGCCTCTAGAGTTGAGAACTCTTCTTTAGCCTTTAAGTTGCATTCCAGCCTGACCAAGAATCTGTGCACTTGCCTTTTGGCCATGCCCTGTTTCATGAGCTGACTATCTAAGGTGTACAATACCTCAGGCCTTTAGACTTTTTCTACCTTCTGGCAATTGAAACCATCATGTCACTAGCTGAGGTCCAAAGAGCCTGGACTCCATTTGAGCAGGCATGGAGGCCTTGCCAGAAGGGTTTAGATGAGAGTTTTCTCGAGGGTCACTGATGCATTCTGCTTTTGACCAGGCATTGTGGTGGCATTTGAGACTTGCATTCCAGGAGACCTGGGAGTCTATTTCTGGCTTTGTCTTATGGTTGACCTTGGATAGGTCTTGTCCTCCTCACTGAAGACATCTGTAAATGAGGGAGCTGGACTAGACAAAATGAAGTTCTTCAGCTTTTACAGTCTAGGATTTCAGTCTGTTAGTGGAGAATATGTTAAAGGTAAAGTGAGTGTTCTATCTGCATTCTCCTGACCCTTTTTAGACCTTCTCCCCAATATTAAGGATTAAAATTTTGTGACTTCTTATGAAAATGTTTTAGGAATATAGTTTTTTCCTTAACCTCTGACTCTGACTTTTTTTTTTTTTTAAACTATGTGTTTTGAATGACAGACAAGCTGTAACCCTTCATGTGCCTTACCTTCGCTCAGTACTGGCAGCTCTTCCCCCAGAGGGGTGGAGGACCCTGATGTCATCTTCCAGAACTTTCTGCAGCAGGCTACAAGTAACCAGTTAGACTCTTTGATGGGCCTGAACAACTCACCCTCTGTGGAGGACAGCATCATCATCCCCTGTGAATTCTGTGGGGTACAGCTTGAAGAGGAGGTGCTGTTCCATCACCAGGTAAGTGTCTGGAGGACCCATCTGGTTGGCTCCATGCTGATCCTCTGTGAGTGAACCTACGGCCTCTAGAGTTGAGAACTCTTCTTTAGCCTTTAAGTTGCATTCCAGCCTGACCAAGAATCTGTGCACTTGCCTTTTGGCCATGCCCTGTTTCATGAGCTGACTATCTAAGGTGTACAATACCTCAGGCCTTTAGACTTTTTCTACCTTCTGGCAATTGAAACCATCATGTCACTAGCTGAGGTCCAAAGAGCCTGGACTCCATTTGAGCAGGCATGGAGGCCTTGCCAGAAGGGTTTAGATGAGAGTTTTCTCGAGGGTCACTGATGCATTCTGCTTTTGACCAGGCATTGTGGTGGCATTTGAGACTTGCATTCCAGGAGACCTGGGAGTCTATTTCTGGCTTTGTCTTATGGTTGACCTTGGATAGGTCTTGTCCTCCTCACTGAAGACATCTGTAAATGAGGGAGCTGGACTAGACAAAATGAAGTTCTTCAGCTTTTACAGTCTAGGATTTCAGTCTGTTAGTGGAGAATATGTCTTTTGCCCAATTTTATTTGTTAAGGGGAGACAACACTGCAGGTACCATTTCTCTACTTGATGCCATACAACCATTGCTAGAACATCATACATTTCATTTCTGTAATAAAGATCTCTGCTTTTGGATCAAGTGGTAGATAGGAACTGCTAGTTGTCTACTAGGGGAGACTGAAATAAGCAACTATGCAAATACTCTGGTCAAAGTATAGAAATCCTTTTCTGGGCTCCCAAGACCAGTCCTTTCTTCATTTCTGCAAAATCAGAAAGTGCTTTTCAGTGCCTGTGTGCTATTGGGAATGACTTCTCTATTCCAGATGTGTGCTTCCTCTTGGTCCCTGGGACCCTCCTCTCAGTGCTTGTCAAAGTCCCCCTCCAGATGAGGTGTGCTCCACCCAGCTTGCTGTTCTTCTCTTTCCTCCCTCTACTCCTCTTCCAGGAATGACTCAGTTCAGAGGTACTAATTCTGGTTTTTCTTGTTTAGGACCAGTGTGACCAGCGCCCAGCCACAGCAAACAACCATGTGATGGAGGGGATTCCTAGTCAGGATTTCCAGCCTCGAGATACCTCACCAGAGCTGCCCAGGAGGCGTGTCAGACACCAGGGTATTAGCCAGGGCTGAGCCAAGGCCTCAGGTCCACTGCTGGCTCAGGCCTGCTTACCACTTCTCATCTGTTGGTCTAACATGGGGTTACCTGAATCTTAAGTTACTAAGCACCCCAGGGTTTCAGGGGCAACTCCTCTGCAGCTCATTGTGGTCCCAGGTTAGATCTCAAGTGTAGGTTTATAGGTTAACAGCTTTAGGGACAGCCATGAGACACACTTTGCAGTTGGTGCTTATAGTAAACTATGGGTCTCCTGTCTGTGTTCTTAGTGGTTTATTTGTGGGTAATTTGCAGACCTTGCTGTGACTGCTCTGGGTCCCTGCTTCTACTTGAAATATGCTTGGGATAGTCAAATATGATGATGTAAGAGCCTCATAACTAGGCAAGTAAACTGTTTTTGAAACCTCACCACTACACAGCCAATTAGAAACTATTTTCCAAGATTTGCTTGCTCACTGTTATTGAGTAGTTAGGAGGCTGTATTTGAGGACTTGGGTAATAATTGTGCAGAGTAGACAAAGTGTTCTCATCTCTGGCCTGGATACATGGGTTTCAGCAACCTTTAGGGGTGAGCAGTTGTCTTCTATCCAGAATCATTTTGTTCCTGCCCTGAATCCAGCACTAATAATAAGAGCAGTTTCTTCCCTAAAGCTGTTAACTATTTTCTCTTCTCAGGAGACCTGTCCTCTGGGTACATGGATGATATCAAGCAGGAAACAGCTAAAGGACCCACCTACTCTCTGCCCCCCAGCAGACCCATTAACAACATGATAGCTACCTGTAACCGACTGTCAAAATCAACATCAGGCCCCAGACTTGGGTGCCAGCCCAGCCTTCCTCATGTACTGAAGCTCAGCAATTCAGACAGCCAGGACATCAGGGGGCAGAGCCGAAACAGCCAGAATGGGGCCATGGCCACAGGGCCTGTCCCAGTGATTCACCCCATTCAAAATCTCTACCCAGAAAACCTTGTGACCTCTTTCCCCCATGGGCCTGCAGGGAGATATGGAGCTAGGTAAGAGTCAGTAGCCCTGGAATAGAGCTTGGGTGTGACTAAAGAGAACATGAGCAAAAGGTCTGGTGACCTGGGCCCAGCCTGAAGTAAGACTGAGGTCCATGGGAAGAGGGTGGAGTGTGGATTTTGCCTATATTGTCACCTGATTCCAAAAAAATCCTTTTGCTACCCATGGGTGGTTTTTTTTTTTTTTTTCCCCCTTTTTTTGTCTTTTTTCGTGTCCGGCAACGGATCGCAACCCTCAGTGTTGCACCCGTACCGGATTGGGACCGGCAACGGGAT